TCTCTTCTCTCCTCTCCTCTCCTCTCTTCTCTCTTCTCCTCTCCTACCTGTCTGACTGCTCTTTCTCAGTCTCCTTGCCTGGACATAGATCACAACCCCTAATTGGGGGTGTTCTAGGTTCTGTCCTAGGCTCCCTTCTCTTCTCTCTATATTCTTAGTAGGTGATCTTGTCAACTCCCGTGAGTTTAATACTGACTCTCAGATCAATATATTCTGCTTTAGTCTTTCTCTTGAGCTTCAGTCCCATATCATCAATTACCTGTTGGACATTTCAAACTGGATATCCTGGAAATATCTCAAAACTGAGCATGTCGAAAGCAAAACTTGTTATCTTTCCCCTCAAACATCCCCTTCTTCCAAATTTCCCAGTTTTTGACAAATGTACCATAATAATAACAGGCAGAATTTATGCATTTTATGAATATCACCTCATTTTATCCTTATAACAACTCTGGGAGATAGCTGATATTATTATATCTATTTTAGAGGTGATAAAACTGAGGCACACAGAGGTTAAGAGGCTTGCCTGGTGTCAACCAACTGAGGCTCGATTTGAACTCAGGACTAGTACTCTATCCATTATACCACCTAGCTGGCTCATTCTTTCAGGCTCCCAGATATGTAACTTTGGCATTTTCCTCTCTTTCCCTCATCCTACATATCTAAATCAGCTGCCCAATCTTGCCATTTCGACCTCTACAACATCTTTTTCATCAGACCCCTCATCTTTACTTACTCAGCTATCCTTTTAGTTCAAGCCCTTATCATCTCTCACCTCAACTATTACCACAGCCTCTTAGTGGATCTCTCTGCCATAAGTCTCTCTCCACTTTAGTCTGTCCTTCACACTGTTATATAAGTGACTTTCCTTAAGCACAGATCTGACTATGTCCCTCTCCCACTCTGTAAATTGCATTTTAAATTGCAGCCCTTGTTATTTCCTCTAAAATAAAATATAAACTCCTTTCTTCAGGGCCTCTTAAGGGTCTTTACAACCCGGCCTAATCTTTCCAGACTCATTGGACGCTTCTCCCTGTCTCAATCTCTGTGATCCAGTCAAATGGCCTTTCTGTTCCCCACACATTCCTTTGTATTAGTTGTCCCATGCCTGGAATGCCCTCCCTTCTCACTTCCGCCTCCTAGATACCCTCTTTTTCTTTACAACACAGCTCAAGAGCTAACTTCTACATGAAGTCCTTCCCTCTCAAGCTGCCTTGTATTTTGCTATTTGTATTAATTCCTATTTATTCTGTATACATATATCTATGTCTATTTCTATCTTCTTGTATTCTGTTTTAGAATGTAAGTGGTTTGCTGGGAGGGATTGTTGCATTCATCAGATTTGTATTTCCAGGGGGCAGCTAGGTGGTGCAGTGGATAGAGCTCTGGCCTTGGAGTCAGGAGGACCTAAGTTCAAATGTGACCTCAGATACTTGACACTGACTAGCTGTGTGACCTTGGGCAAGTCACTTAACCCCTATTGCCTCCAATAAAAAAAAAAGCATATTTGTATCCCCTGCACTTAGCTTACGTCTGGCACAGAATAGACAATTAACAAATAGTTAACTGATTTTTATTAAGTACCAGTCTAGTGTATCTCTAGTCCTCTCCCTCCTTACTGCCTCTCTCCCCCATTTTGACAACTTCCTAAGGCTCCCTTAGGGGAACTTGGCCGCCCCTCCTCCACATCCTCATTGAGTTTCCTTGGTTGTAAGATCCTTGAGGGCAGGACTGTCTTTTGCCTCTTTTTGTATGCCCAGCACTTAGCACAGTGCTTGACACATAGTAGGAGCTTAACAAATGTTTCCTGATTCTTCTCTAGACACAGGCTCACATTGTGGAAAGATCACTAGATTTGGAATTAGAAGATCTGGATTTGAATATTGGCTCTGCCATGTACTACCTGTGGGGACAACTAGGTGGTGCTGCATATCAGATGCTGGGCCTTGAGTCAGGAAGACCTGAGCACAAATATAGCCTCAGATGGGTAATGGTTGTGTGACCCTGGACAAGTCACTTAACTCCTGTTTGCCTCCGTTTTATCAACTGTAAAATAGGGGTGATAATATCACCTACCTCTTAGATTTATTGTGATGATGTAATGAGATATCTGAAAAGCACTTAACCCAGTACCTGGCAAATAGTAGTCATTATATAAATGTTTATTCCGTACTTCCTGTGTCAATTTGGACACTTGTCTTTTTTTTTAATTTTTTTATTTTTTAGGCAACTGGGGTTAAGTGACTTGCCCAGGGTCACACAGCTAGTAAATGTCAAGTGTTTAGTCTGAGGCCAGATTTGAACTCAGTTCCTCCTGACCTCAGGGCTGGTGCTCTATCCACTGTGCCACCTAGCTGCCCCAGTTTTTTCTTCTATAAAATGAAGAGACTGGACTTGAAGGCTTCTAAGGCCCCTTTGGACTCTAAATTCTTTGATCCATTTCTCCTTTCCAGAGGACACTTTTGACGTTTGGGATAAGGATGGAAGTCACAAAGACAAGAGAGATTTATGGACTAGATAAAGGATCTTGAAGGGATGGAGAAATGAGAATAAAGTGACTCGAGGGCAGTTGCACATTTCACTCAACATTTACTCATTTCCCTTTCTCAATGCCCTGTGCCCAGGAAAGGTTCTGGCTCATGCCGACATCCCTGAATCGGGCAGTGTGCACTTTGATGAATCAGAGACTTGGACAGAGGGGACCAAAATGGGGGTGAATCTTCGCATCATTGCAGCCCATGAGCTTGGCCATGCGCTCGGGCTGGGCCATTCCCGATACCCACAGGCCCTCATGGCACCTGTTTATTCTGGCTTCCGGCCCCACTTCCAGCTTCACCCTGATGACGTGGCAGGGATTCAGGCTCTCTATGGTAAGTCTCTCTTCCCCTCCCCCAAACCATGTTTGCTTCCCCAAATCTCCTACTTCAGTGAATATACTCTTCCCTCAACCCACCAAAATAGGATTCTCTTTTATGCTGAGATATTTCTAGGAATGAAATACCCTGGCTCCCTCTTACCTAATCATCAGGATCCCCTTCCCTTTGGCTTTAACCTGACTCCACTGGGCTGCAGTCCTAGGCCCAGTGCCCTCAATTTCCCTCACTTGGAATAGAGAGTGCCCTGGTCACTTTACCTTTCTCCATCTTTCATCAAACTTTCCTTGTTGATGCTTCTCCTGGGAGCCAAAATGGATTTTTCATCCTTCCCCAGGTCCTCTAAGTAAGTGGTGGGGAGAGGACTCTGGGAAGCTTTTATTTCATTGTGTGGTACCCTAAATGCCTTCCTCCAAGGCCTGATGTGTCTTTAACTTGCAGGCAAGAGAATCCCTCCGAGTGGAGAGGAGGAAGAGGAGGTGGAGGAAGAAGGGAACGAAGTTTCCATTGTAACCCCAGGGCCCACGCCGCTGGCAGCTGTGCCTGACCCCTGCAGTGGAGAGCTGGATGCCATGATGCTAGGTAAGCTCCTCCCTTTGGGGGAGAAGCTCAGTAAAATTCCACAGACCATCTAATCCTAAGGATTGGAAAAGTGGGAATGACTCGGGGCTTCCAAGGAACGGAGAAGAACTCAATGCCTCTAGAATGAGCACATATGGAGGGCATGGGAGAGCGAGTGTCCTGACTTGTGATTTCATCTATGTAGGGGACTTCTGGTGTGAAAACTCCCTCCCTTTACTACTACAGATCTGCTCATTAGTTATCACATTGTCCCAGGGAGTAGCCTGGACATTGAGAAGTGAAAAGACTTGAAGAGTGTGTGCCCGAGGGAAGGCTTGTTCTTGCCAGGTTTCAGGTCTTCCTGGCTCCAAAACTGGCAGTCTTACCATTACCTACAAGCTACCTCTCACATTGGACAATGAATATACTTGTTTTGGAATAAACTTTGAACTTCTGATAGGACTTCCTCTGGGTGGGAAACATTAGAAAGTGTGTGTGTGTGTCTCCTGGACTTGGCTTTGCTTTTTCACTTTCAACTATCATCCTTTGTCCAGGCCCTCATGGAAAGACATACGCCTTCAAAGGAGACTATGTATGGACAGTGACTGGCTCCAGACTGGGGCCCCTTTTCCACGTGGCGACCTTATGGAAGGGGCTCCCAGGAAACCTGGATGCTGCTGTCTACTCCCCCCGCACAAAATGGATCCACTTCTTTAAAGGTGAGGAGGGAATAGAGTGTTTTAAAAAGAGGAACAAAGATAATTTGTTTTAAGAGGATAGAGATAAAGATTTGGAGCTTGGGTTTTTCTGGGCAGGGGGACCAGATCTGTGGTTTTCTTGGTGTGGGAACTCCCAGTATGGAAAACTTCCACTGTTGCAGATTAGCACCTCATCTGTAACTTATACCTACAGCCTTAAAGAGTTACCGGGGGTACTGAAAGGTTTAGTGTCTTATCATGATCATAATCCTAGTATGTGTCCGGGACAGGACTTGAACCCATGCTTTCCTGACTCAGCCTAATCCTCTAAGTCCCTGGAAAAATACAGGATAAAGGAGAAACTTTCAGAAGGAGGGGATATACACTGCAGATCTTACTTTTTCTCTCTCCCCTTTAGGTAACATGATCTGGCGCTATATGGGCTTCAAATTGGTCCCTGGCTTCCCTAAGCGGCTAAGTCATGTGGGTCCCAACTTGGATGCAGCTCTGTACTGGCCCCTCAACAAGAAAGTTTTCCTTTTCAAGGTACAAAGTCTTCAACTTTGTAAGAGTGTAAGGGAGGGATTGCTTTTCCTTTAGGGCAGTGCCTTGTGCCTTGCATATAAAGGGAATTGGCATTCCCTTTAGGAATGGTGATATCAGAGTGAAAGTCCTTTTCCAGTGGAAAGACGGCATCCTTAAAGAGGGAGCCACGTTTCTTAAAGGGAGGGGCTGATGCACTGGAAGGTGAAAGCTACATAGGAGCTGTAGGAAATCCTTAACACTTTTTTTTTTTCCTTTTATCCCCAGGGCTCTGGGTATTGGCAGTGGGATGAGTTGGCCGTGAATGACTTCCGCCGTTACCCAAAGCCAATAGGAAAGCTGTTCACTGGGGTTCCAGACAAGCCCTCCGCGGCCTTGAGCTGGCAGGATGGCAAAGTCTACTTCTTTAAGGGTAAAAAGTACTGGCGCCTGAACCAGCAGCTTCGAGTGGAGAGAGGCTTTCCCAAGGACACTGCACAGAACTGGATGCACTGTGTTCCCCCAACCATGGGTAGCACAGCCTCAGCCAGCAGCTCCAAAGAAGTGTCCACTTAGCCACAAAAAGGACCTTTCTCAGCTCCAGATAACTCCTCTTCACTTCCTCCCACCACCACTCTTGCTCATGAGTGGGAATCGACCCTACTCTTTAGATCCTGGGCACCCTAACCCTGAAGACTGCCCCACCCCACCAAAGACAATACTAACAGCTATGGGCAACATACTTCTGGTCCTGGGCTCATCTCTTCACTCTTGGCAGTGGCACTTTGCCCCCGGCCTACAGACTTGCCCTGACCTAGTGCACCTAGTCCTCCTAGATGGTTATCATTCCTTCTCCGTCTTGGCAGGGCTACCCTTTCTTTTGTATCAAACACTGACTACTCCCTGGCCATGAACACCTTCTCCCTTGTCTTGGACAGCATCATCAACTTCATGCCCTAAGGGGAGCTCTGTGAGTCTGGGACCATCTCTAATTTTAATTGTTGACTCTACTACAGGGTGTGTGCCCTTAGGACTGGAGGGAAAGGGAGCATTTGCCAACCAGGACAAAAAAAAAATGTTTATAGAACTTGGTGTCTTTAAGTTCTCTCTATAGTTCTTACTGTAGTCAATGCATAGCCTTGAAAAATTCAAATGGGGCATCTCTGAAAAATTTCAGTACACAGCAAAAAATGTCACCCTCTGAAACTGAAGTCAGGATGATTCAGTGACCAAACGATGAAACAGCTCTCCCTGGGACATGTGATTTCTCTTTCACGACAGCACCTTGTGATTCTCTTATGCACTGATCATATATTAATTTATAAAAGTTATTGTTGTAAATGTCTTATTCTTCCTACTAGATTGTAAGCCCCTGGAGGGCAAGGACTAGGTCTTATTTAAGTTTTTATCTACTCAAGCACCTAGCAGTGTGCTTTTCAAAGACGGTTAGTATGAATTAATGAAAGAAGGAAATGAGATCAAGCATTTATTAAACACTAGGCACTGGGCTAAGGAAGAAAGGAATGTAAGAATTCGCTGTCGATGTGAGTGAGGTGACTCCTGAAACTAGATGCCAATCTTAAATGTAAGGAAGCTAGGATCTAATCCATTGGGTCCCAGAAGACCCAAGATAAAGCTGGATAACAGAATGGTCTGTAGAAGGACTAAGCTTGTTAGTGTCTCTGATTCTAATGATTGGTTCCAGATATTAGGAAAGAAATATGGAAAAGTATGATAGAGGATGGCAGTTTATCAGACTAGCCTAGCTTGATAAAAATGTCCTTTAGTAGAGTATAGATTCTTTGCACTGTTTCTATGTTCACCAAGCAACCTTTTGATCTCAATAATCTGGTTTTCAGGTGAGAATTCCTGTGATTATCACTGGGAATCTAATTGGATAGATTTCCTTTTGCCAATGAATAAATTGGCATCCATGTTAATAATTGGGGTCACTTGTGATTTCTATTCAAATGAACTAATCCCTCAGAGCTCATCACTTTTGGGTGATATTGTTTTAACCATAATATTATTACTAAATTTTTTTTAAATATTGAGCATATGTTTTCAAATTTTGTTTTAAGGAGTTTTTTTTTTATAAGGATTTTATAGATGTTAGGTGGGGAGGGGAATTATTTAAAAAATGAAAAGTGGAAACATTCATTAAGCAAAAATCTGAAAACTTATCTCAGCGAAAATGATAGGTCTGCTAAAATGGAATTCATGAGTCTGCAGAACTGAGGATCAGAACACAGGATCCTAACTTTCCTACAAGGCTTCAGAGGCATTTTGGTGTAGTGGAGGACTAGCCTTGGCTCAGAATCCTGCCTGGTCTTACCTCAGACACATACTAACAGTGTGAACCCGGGCATTTCACTTGGCCCCAGGTAACTCTGACTCTCAATAGGTGTGCTACTTATCTGCATTAGTGGGAGGAATTCCCTACACAAAGAAAATCTCAGGTCTCTCGGTAGCAATTGTTTTTTCTTTAGGGCAGTGCCTTGCTCATGACTGACATTTAGTAAGCCTTCATTGAATTGGATTGGAGATGATTTCGTCAAAGGGAAAAAGAGGAAATAGGGAAAGTCTGGAGCACCTGGTTTAATCTTCAATGCCATTTTATTTACAACTCATCGATATCTCCCCTCCCTCTGCCGTGGCATCCATTTTATCCCTTTCCTCCAATGCGGGGAGTTTATGGACACTGGCATAGGGCTGGGGACATTAGGCCAGGGTTAGTGGCTGGAGTGGAGGCACAGTTAGAATGTTAGTGTCCTATGGGGCTGAGAGGCAGAGAAGGTGCTGGCATCTGTCCATCTCCCATTTTGCCACTCTTATACCCCCTGCAGCTCTCCCCAGAGCTGCCCTCTTCTTTTCACCACAAGAAGCCAGTAAGGGGCAGGGTCTGAGTAGACTCTGCCCCAGCATACACCACGAGCCTGAGAGGAGGGAAAGTGGAAAGCACCAGGGAGGACAGAGCCCCCAAATGAGGTAGGAATGGGGCTCAGGCACTGGAGGTGTGTGGGAGAAAAGAATACTGAGTGTCCTAATGCACTCCCCTTCATTAACCTGAGACTTGAGGAGTCAGGGGGACCCAAAAGAGATCCTTCCCCTTCTTTCCAGAAAGGAGTTACATCTGTCTTTAGAAATTCCCTGCTTTTTTGTAGCATCTTCAAAAACCCCATTTTCCCACTTTGTGGCACAGGATTTGGGTGGTACAAAAGGAGGTCATGTTGTAGAAGGGAGAAGTGTCCTTCCAGGCTTGGGGTCATGGTAGATTGGGCAGCAGTGCTGAGTGTTAGGGGTGACAGAGAATCCAGGAATATGAGGCTATCTCTGTAGTTTGAGCAGAGGTGAAAATTCAGTTCTTCCACCCCCTTCCTCCTTCAATCTCCCTTCAGCTGTCCCCAGCTCCACCCTGGCACATTCTCCTTCAGGGCTGGGCTAGACCACATTTCATGCCCTGTCCCTCCATGGCCAGTCTAACAGCTGGGGAGGAGAAGAGGGAATGTGCATTTTTGTGTATAGTTATCAGTGGAAAATTCTACCTCTTCTGCCCAAGCATTGCCCACCTGGTGCTCTGACCCTTCTCTCTAAGGCATGTATGTGTGTGTGTATGTGTGTGTGTGTGTGTGTGCGCGCGCACGTGTGTGTGTGAGTGTGTGCAGAGGCTCAGGTTTGGTTGGATCGAGGGGGTGTGGTGAGGGGCGCGGTGGAACCACAGTCAGAGTCTAGGTCCAGGATGGCATGATGGGGAGTACCCATAGTGCTTGGCCCCAGCTGTCGATCCCGGAGGCTCTGGAGATAACTCTGTAGGGTAGATAAGACCAGGAAGAAGAGGAGGGGAGGGGAGAGAAGGGCCAAGGTCAGAGGCCCTGGCTCTCCCTATTTCTCCTCCCACCCTCCCTGCTCACTTACCGGTGCCAGGCTGTCAGCTGGGCTCCGGGCTCTGTGTGGGACCTGGCGATGGTAGCTGCCTTCGCTGGCCGTTGCCTCAGAATTCTGCTGCCACTTGGCCTCCTGCTGGCGGATCCTGAGAAGCTGGAGGCCCTTCAGTCGATGGCTCAAAACCCCTTTGGAGGAAGTGGGGACTAAGTTGGGACCTTCTCAAAGTCCACTCCAAACCCAAGCCCCAGCACTGCAGGGAGATTCCCGCTCCACTTCGATACCCATTTAACCTACATGCTTCAGTTAACCCCAGGATAAAACTCCCCAACCTGGAGATTATGTTCTCTCTTCTCTGTAATCTTTCTTTACAAAATCTTTTCACATAGGATAATCCCCTAATAGTGACACACCTCCATATAGCTCTCTCTTGAAGCCCTAAGGCTTAGGACCTCTATCCTTACAAATTCAACACTCCTACTCTCACTGCCAAGCATCAGTAATGCCCTCCATTTTGTTCCCTGATGATTCTTTCCAGCTGCCTCCACTAGGTCGGATAGTCCCATGCACCTTTCCCAAGTATATGGATTTCTTTCCTCCTCTCCCCCACCCCCCAACCCAGGCATTTAAGATTAGGAATGATGTAGGGGATGAGAATGGGGAGAAATATGGGGTGTTAGTATCAAGATTTTAACTTACCATCATCATGGCCTCTGTGTCCCTTGGCTGTGAGTCTCCACTGAGCAAGGGCCCCAAGTGCCCCCAGGGCAGGCCAGGCACCCAGCAGGGCCCAGCTGTACCAGCAGAGTGGAGGTAGGGCAGGCAATGCCTGAAGTCGCTGACCCAGACGCCCGCCCAGTGCCAGCCCCTCCAGGAAGTAGTCTGCACAGCCCACCAGTACGGCTGCACCCAGAAAGGCTGTGCCTAACATAGTGAAAGGTCGAGGCCAGCGTAGGGTAAGTAGGGCACCTAGAAGTGCCAGTCCCACCAGGCCCCCTGTTGGTACCCAGGCTGAGGGTGGCTGGTAGATGGGTTCAGTGCCTAGTAGGGCACCTGCCCCCAGGGTCAGACCAAGCAGAAGGCCAGTCAGGAAGAGCCCCACGCTTCGCACCAGCATTGTGACCAGTCCACAGAGGAGGCCAATGCCCAGCGCGATGCCTGCGCTCACCTCCAGGCTCAGTTGTGTCTCCAAAACCCGTTCCTTGTGGCATAGCAAGAAGATGACCAGGGCTCCTGAAAGCAGCCCAGACAGGAACATCACCGCCTTGAAGCATCGGTAGCCTGTGATGGGGGTGGAGAGGTGGGTACCAGGTATCAGGGGAATACCCCAAGGTGTTGGGCACTAAGAGGCTGAGAGGGATTACAGCAGGAAGGAATAGGAGGCATTCCAGGGACGGATGCTGCAAGGAGACATGGAAAATTTGGAGGCATGGGGAGAAATAAGCAGAAGAAAAGGTTTAGAGGAAAGGCTCAGGCACTGGAGAGAGGAGTATTGGGTAGAAGGGGCAAATAATGGGATGGGAACCTTGTTGAGGAGAGTGGGTATTAAAGGGGAAGAAGTGGGGAGGGAGTAGAATGGTCTGGGAAGAGGGCACCCTCTCCTAGAAGATAGTAAGGGAATTTAGTTTAGTGGGGAACATTGATAAGGGAAAACAAGATGCAGTGGATAGAAAAAGTAGACAATAGTCAGGAGGACAAGAAATACTGGGATAGGCAGAAGAAAGCTGTCTGGGAAACAGAAAAATAGGTGTGGGGCATTACTATGGATAAGAGAAGATATTGTGAGTTATGATTAGTATATTAGTATAGTATATTAGTATGGTTCTGAAAGAGAAAGATAGTAATGCCGAGAGGCCAAGAGACTGTGGCAGCTGCCCACCCAGGATCCCAGGCCTTGGCCTTGCCCCTGCCTTCCTCACCGAAGCAGCAGTAGATGACTCCAAAGAAACAGCAGAGGGCACAGGCCAGTGCGGGGACCAGCTCAGGGTTGTCCCTTGGCTCCAAGACGCACTGTGGTTCTGGAGGCTCTGGCAGTTGTTGATTGAAGAGCCTGGGGTCAGAAGTCACAGTCAAGGGAAGTGGTGCGTGATCCATGGCCAACGTGACCACAGTGAGAACTGGACCAACTCTTCTGTTTATCTGCAAAAGTTTGAGAGGGATTGGGCAAAGTTTGAGGAGGAGGAGCAAGACCTGCTCTGAGACCCAGGAGTCCTGTGAGAACCCCCTGGGTGGACATCAGAAGTCATACAGGTGACCTTCTTGGCAAATCAGAGGGGTTGTCTTGATATTCTCACTTGCCAACCCAGTGCTTTGGAATGGGGGTGCCCACCTCTGCTGGGAATGTTCTAATAGAGCAAAAAATATCATGAGTAGGCAGTGTGGTATAAATTAGCATTAGATTTGGAGTGTGAGGTTTGGGACTTGAATTCTTTTGCAACAGTGAAACAAAATCCTGTGGTAACTTTGATCAAATCACTTAACTTCTGCAGAACTCAGTAAACTCGTCTGTAAATTGATAGGGGTGGCCTGGATCCTAATAGGCAAGTTCTGGAAAATCTGGGAGGGACTGATGGATGATGGGGGTAGAATCAGAACCTAGGTCTTTCTTGGGGGGTGGGGTGGAGGTAGGAATACAAAGGCCAGGAATGCTGGTTGTGGGGAAGGAATTAAAAGCTTTGATTAGGGTTTGGGGTTCCAAGAGCAGGTTCTGGAAGAATGATCTAATCTCTGCTGGGACTCAGAGCTTCCAACCCTGCACAGTGTAGAAAGGTTGGAGGTTAATGGGTGGAGGTGGAATAAAGAAAAATGATCCATGGTGGGGGTGGGGTCTAGGCATCTTTATAGCCACTGAAAAAAGAGAAAAAAATTGATAAAAGAAAAAAAAGTGATAAAAGAGAAAAAAAGAGAGGGACCCAGGCAGGCACCCAGAGAAACAGGGGCATAGAAAGTCAGACTAAGCAGAGATTACAGACCTCATAGCTTTTTGGAACCTTGCCTAGGGTCAGATCCCTGGGACTGAGTTGTCGGTGAGAACAGCGCCGTTGGTCTAAATTCCCTCAACTTCCTTGTTCCTGTCTGAGTGGGCACCCTGCCCCCTGGCACCCCATGTCTTAGCACAAATCCCCTTCGACCAAACTCAGTATGGCATTCCCTCTCTCCGCTTTGCCAGTACATCGTACAGGTTGGTAGAGCCAATGAGTGCTTTGAATACGGACATAGTTCAAGTTGGATTTGCATTTGCGGGGCGCTGGGTCTGGGAAAAGTGTATTCCTTCCTTGCATTTGGTTATCAAAGTATTCAGCTGTCTGCAAAAATCGGAGCCTCCAGCGCCTGCCTCCCCACCCCATCCCCCTTCTGATGTCTGGGTCTTCCACCCTAGGACAGGATGGAGAGGGGGGCAGAAACTACTCACCACCCTGCTTGGAGCCCGGGGGCACTCTCCTAGACTCCCAGTGGCATCTCGGCCCGGAGTTGGACACCCTGGGTTGCGGGCGGTGGGGGAAGTCGTTTCTTTGGTAGCTCTCAAAACTCTTGCGAACAGCGCAACCCAAGCCCAGGCAACTCAATGCAACCAGCTGGGGGGGGGGGGCGGGAGAGATGGAGGAAGGAAACTGGGAGCTGGGGGTGGGGGATGGAGTGAGTGTAAGGGGGGGGTGACATCAGGGGGCGGGCCTAGCCAACCCCAAGGTGGGGGGGGGACGAGAAACAAGGACCTCACTCCTTTAGCTGGAGTCCTAAGACCCGAAACCTTGTCTAGGAGGTGTTCAGAGAGAAAGGTACCACGACCCTCTTGGGCAAGGGACTCCAAATACTTAGAGGGCTACTCCTCTGCTTCCAGACTCCCCTGAAATCTCCACTGGTGTCCCAGCGCCCCCCAACTCCCGTTTGGTTTCTTCCACTTCCTAGAGAATCGGAGTATTGTCTCCCGGAGAAAAGGGGTCTGCACCTTGGACCCCAGGCAGTAGTCAAGGGGTTCGGGGCGCCGACGGGGAGAGAGGCGGAGACTGGGGTACCTGGAAGTCCTTGGGAGAAAGATTCAGACTAGGGAGAGAAATCTTGGAAGGGGGAGAAGGGCGGGAGGTCTTCCTTTCTATGGGGCTTGAGAGGGATTTCAGCCTCCCGACCAGACTTGCACGTTATGCAAACCAGATGCAAAGCTGGGGTCCCTGGGCTCCAGGCTCGAGCGCTGTCCTCCGGATTGGGAACGTGCCTTACCCCGGCGCTCTGCCTTCCGACCTCTGCCTCCTCCTCGGTGGCGGGGCCAGAAAGCCGAGCCAGGAGAGGGGCGGGAAGGACAGTGGGAGCCAGAGCCGGAGTGGGAGCCAGAGCCACGCTGGGTGGCCCAGCTCGGCTCGCCAGCTTCCCCCCAGCCGCGTCACACTGGCCCCGCCTGATTTGGGCGCTGGGGAGGCTCGAGGGCTACGGGGGAGGGAAGAGCAGAATTAGTGACTGGAGGGCGGCCGAGGGTGGGCCAGGGGGTGGTCTCCTCTCCGCCCAATTTCCTTGGGACACAAAGAAGCCTCTGTTCTCCTTGGCAGCCGTCTCGGGGCGGGGAAGGGGAGAAAGTGAGCGGGGCTGGGAATTCCCTTCATCTGGTCCCGAGGGGAAACTGAGGCACGGGGGGGGCGGGGCTCTTGCCGTGCCTCCCAGTCTCTTTGCAGATTCGGAGATCGCTGCTCCGCGTTCCACGGGGGTTGCCTGTAGCACCCGCCCCCTCCGCACCCCTTTCCAGGGCCCTACGGCGCTCTAAGTGCCAGATTGCAGCCCCTGGGGACGCGGGCCCTTTAAGGGGTGGGGCTTCTTGCCATCGCGGACCGCCTTCCGCTGGATCGGACCCGCGCGTGCCCCGGGTCAACCGCTGTTGCTCCTCCCTTCCCCGCCGACCCCGGAAGTGGAAGTCTGTGGAGGTCGGCAGCAGTGGGGACGGAAGGCGGAAGCGGAGCGTGAGCGGGAGGCCGAGCCGGGGGAGCGGCTCTCGTAGCTCCCCCGGGCTCCGGACCTCGCAGGAAGGAGAGCGTTGCTGCCGCTGCCTGGTTTGTGTCTCTCTTCGCCTTCCTAGCCCTTTTCGCCCCCATGCCAGGGCCAAACTGGGCTTCGGGGGCGCCCTCCCCCCGGCCCCGCCCCGTCCCTCCCCTCTCTTCCCGCGGCTCCCCTGTTCCCCCGCCCTCACCCGTTAGAGGCTCTTCCTCTCCGCGGGCTCCTCTCCTTCCCGGCGTATTTTGGGCTCTGCTCGTCTGGTTCGCTGGAGGGCCCCATGATGTGGGACGGAGGAGGTGGTCGCGGTTCCTCCTCCCTGACAAGTGGGTCTGACCCAGGAGTAGGGAGAAGCTTCCTAATTTGACGCCTCCCTTTTGTTGCAGGCACCTGAAGTCATCAATGATGGCTGTGACCTAAATTCCTTCAGGAAGCCCCGGGGTCATGGCCCAGCAGCACCCCGGGGAAAGGAAGTTGTACAGGGCACCCCACAGTGGCTCTTCAGTTTGGACTTCAGGGCCCACTGTGGGCCCCGACAATCTTTCATTCTCAGGATTTGGGGATTCGGTGGAGGCTGCACCCAATGGTACCTATTGCCTTACAAGACATCCTTGTTCCACAAATACACCACCCCAGACCCCCACCCACCAATCAGATCCAAACCGAGGTGCTCCAAGGGACCCAGGACCCCCTGGAGAGGGAGAAGATCTTGATCAGACTGAAGCATCTTCAGATGAGGAAACAGGAGTGGACAAGGAGCTTTCACGGGACAATGGGCCAGGGGACCTGGAGGACAGACACTCTTCCATCCCAATTGTGCCATCAGTCTGTAATTGTCAAGGAGCTCCCAGTGTTTTTGAGGGGCCTTTTTCTGAGGGAGGAGATAGCTCATTTAGTAACTTTTGCACCTGCTGTACCTCCTCAGCCCTGGGAGAAGATGAAGATGATGAAGAAGGGCCCGCCAGGGCTCCTACTGACCCTTCTCCTATGCCCAGTGGAAAGAAGCCTCCACCCAGGAGGCAGCGGCATCGCCTGCCAACCAAAGAGGAGTCTAGGGAGGGTGGTCGAAAGGACCCCCGGCCCTTTGGTCGACACCGACCTGGCCGGAAACGGAGCCAGGCAGACCGTCGTCGGTATTTGGTGGTATGGGGGTCAGAGGAACTGTATCGACTTGGACAGAAGGGGTTCTGGTGGCTGATTGAGTTGTTGGTGTTAGTAGGGGAGTATGTGGAAACTGGTGGGCACCTTATCTATTCTTGTGGACAGCTGAAAGGCAGTGATCTGGAACTGTTTCGAGTATGGGTGGGAAGCTGGGTTGGGCAGTTGGGGAACTGGGCTCAGATGGGGTTTCTGTGGCTGGGCCGGGGACTTTGCTCTGGGGCAGGGCTTTTTTCCCACCTGCTGCGACTCCTGTGTGCTGTGTTACTCTTGGTTCTGGCCTTGCTGTTGGGCTGTCTTCAGCTGACCTGGAGAGTCTTGATATACATGGGAAACCGATTGGGCTGGCGGGCTCAGGCCACCTGGCTCTTCTCCAGGCTGGATTCACCTGCTGTGCACCGATGTTGGACTCATCTCAAAGAGAGCAGGACATGGCAACAGTTGGTGGGGCTGGTGCAAAGGGGTTGGCTGGAGGTGCCCTGGGTCAAGCAGAGGACTAACAGGCAAGGAGATGGGCCAGCATGTAGTGGGCGATACTACCAACCTGGAGAGGAGGTGTCTCGCCTCTTGGCTATGGCTGGGATCCCAGAAGATGAACTAAACCCCTTTCAGGTGCTAGGGGTGGAAGCCACGGCATCGGATATGGAACTGAAGAAGGCATATAGGCAGCTGGCAGTGATGGTAACTCCTTTGTTCCCTGCCCCATATTAGCTGTTTTCTTCTGGGAAGAGGGGTGTGTGTGGGTGTGGGTGTGGGTGTGGGTGGGTGTGTGGGTGTGTGTGTGTGTGTGTGTGTGTGTGTGTGTAGCTTAACTCTTTATTATCCCCTAATCTGTGGTTTGATCTCTTTTCTTATTTTACTAGTATTTAAGGAATCATTCAGCCACATTGCCAATAACCTGAGTGGTCAAGTGTGGGAGACTGCAACACTTTTGGGAGTCTACTCTAGTTTGCATTTTCAGTGGGATGTGAAAATAATTTGGAAAGGAGAATAATTGTAATGGTGGGAAAATGGTGAGAAAAGGGGAGAGAGGTACAAAAAGGATTGAGCTTAAAGAAGAGGAGATGGAGGAATAGGAAAATAGGAATTTTCTAAAGAGGTATCAAATGGAGGAAGAGGGTTAGTGGTTTTCTTTTTCCAATGGGACAGAATGAAAAACTAGTCAAAGACAATTTAGGAAGCATTTTACCTAGCCATGAGAACTCTCCACACATTTTCAGTTATGAGAGAGGATTAGGTGGATGAACTAGAGTTGTAACATTTTTGGGAAATGTTTTAGTATGTGGGGTTTTTTTTTCCCATCTTTTGGTATGGGTTCATTTTGGCTTTGAGACAGGAATTTGACATTGCACTCTTTGTCTTTATAGGTTCATCCTGACAAGAACCACCACCCCAGGGCTGAGGAGGCCTTCAAGGTGTTGCGGGCTGCCTGGGATATTGTCAGTAACCCCGAGAGACGGAAGGAATATGAGATGTGAGAAATAGAAAAAAAAATGCTATGTGAGGGTGGAATGTGTTGGAGACAGACAGGGCCCTTGTGCCTGGGGGGAGTAGAATGTTGCTCAGCTTCTGTTGCTGGCGGAGAGCTGTGGTAGATGTAGGGCAGGAAGGGATCCCAGAGGCCTTCTAGTGTAACCCCCCTATTTTAGAGATGAGGAAAACTGAAGTCAAAAGATGTTAAATGACTCACCTAAGGCTTTACTTATTTTTTCCTTAGTGCTCTGTGGCTAACATCATCTCTCTTTTACCCCAGGAAACGGATGGCAGAGAGTGAGCTGAGCAGGTCAGTGAATGAATTTCTGTCCAAGCTGCAGGATGAACTCAAGGAGGCCATGAATACTATGATGTGCAGCCGGTGTCAAGGGAAGCACAGGTGAAAAACATGGTGGGGAGGGAGGGGAATGTCAGAGACAGAAGGGCATTGTAGCTTACAGATAGGACAGTTGAGGCTTCTTTTCGTTTCCCTTTAAAGTTTTTTTTGGCTTTTTGTAAGGGTCTGGAGTTGGTGGTTGTGAACCAAAGAATAAAAAGGCCTTGGGATTGGGATGTGGTTCAACACATAGTTGAAGCAAAGGGAGAATAATAATTTAATTATTAAGTAGAAAGGGCAGGGTCCTCCTGGACATGTCTAATAAGTGGAGCCCATCAGCACAAGTTGTTTGTTGAAGTCAAGATAATGCCTTGGCTGTACTTAAGACTAATGTGGGGTTTTCATGTTGGGGGACAGGAGGTTTGAAATGGATCGAGAGTCTCAGTGTGCTCGATACTGTGCTGAGTGCAACAAGATGCATCCTGCTGAGGAAGGTGACTTCTGGGCAGAGTCAAGCATGTTGGGCCTCAAGATCACTTATTTTGCCCTGATGGATGGAAAAGTATATGACATCACAGGTATACTCCAATCCTACCTCAGAGTAGGTTAGAATGTGGGTAACAAAAGGGCCAGAATGTTTAGTTGTCTGCAGTGCTAGATAACATGGAAATCTTGGGAGGGCAGCTAGGGGGTACAGTGGCTAGAGTGTCAGGCCTGGATTTAGGAAGACTCATCTTTTCAAGTTCAGATCCAGCCTTGGACACTAGCTGTGTGACCCTGGGCAGGTCCCTTAACCCTATAAAATGAGCTAGAGAAGGAAATGGCAAACCACTCCAGTATCTCTGCCAAGAAAACTCCAAATGGGGTCAAGAAGAGTTGGACACACGTGAAAACAACTGAACCAGTCTTGGGAAGATCCTGGACGTATGCTTACATAGAATGGAGTTAGGATATTGACTTGCGTTGTTTTGAGTTCTGTTGTTTGATCTAACTCCCCCTCTTGTTTACAGAATGGGCTGGGTGCCAGCGTGTGGGGATTTCCCCGGATACCCACAGAGTCCCCTATCACATCTCATTTGGGTCCAGGGTTCCTGGTCCTGGTGGGCGGCAGAGGTAGGTGGTGTTTTTTCCTGCCTGTTGTTTTAGAGAATTGACTATGCAGAGTGGTTTAGCAGTGTATCCTGGCCACTGACAATACTTTTTCTTAATAAGTAAAACATCCATGTATCTTTAGGAGTGTTCATCTCTTCATCACAGTATTTTTTTTCCTGTAGAGCCACTCCAGATGCCCCTCCTGCTTCAGTTGCTGACCTTCAGGATTTCTTCAGCCGGATCTTTCAGGTTCCCCCAGGCCAGATGCCCAATGGAAATTTCTTTGCAGCTTCGCAACCTGGCCCTGGGGGCACCCCACCCTCCAGACCAGACAGTTCCACAGCAGCCAAAGGTTCAGAAGCCAAACCGAAGCGTCGGAAAAAAGTGAGGAGGCCCTTCCAGCGCTGATAGCCCTGTCTCTTCCTTTTCTCCACTCTCTGCAGCTCGGTGTCAGGGAGTCATAAGGGCTGTGTACAGCAGAGGATGGAATTTGTTTTGTTTTTTTAAAAATTTTCAATACTTAAAAAGTTTCAAGCATTAACTGTTCACTCAGTGACTTGTGGGAAGCCACTGAATCCCCACTCTGGGAACTAAGAACTGAACCTTGTTTGATGACAATACCAAAGAAATAGTGGGGTGGTTGGCAGGAAGGGCCCTGTGCCTAGACTATGGCTAGGATTGGGATTGATGAGTATTTTGTGGGGGGGACGCAGCTCTCTCTAGGGTTTGGGGGAGCTTTTATATCTTCCCTCCTTCTGAAGGCCAGGGTGATACTTATTCTGTTGTTAACTAGGGCCTTTGTTTCTGGGCCCTCTCCTCTATCATTCATGTTAGGAGACAAAGCAGAGGAGGCAAGTGGCTCTTACATTCAGGGGTGGGTAAAAGCCCAGGACCATTCAGGGAATGGTAATGCTGCCTCTTTCTATTCTGTGGTTCCTACCTAACCTCAGGGTTGTTTCTGCAAGGATGGCTGATTTGACAATTTTTTTTTTTTTTTAAAGTAGACTTATGTCCCCATGCCCTAGGTGGGTAGGAGGCAGAAAAAGCAAGTTTGGTGGTGGTGGGGTTGACCCCAGCTATCCCTATTTAATCAAAGGGTTTTTTAAGTTTGTTCATATTTGTATGTACATACCTATTTAAAGCCAGGGGATTTACCTTTCTATAAATATAACTGGCAAGCTACGCCTACCTGTTTTGTGTGCCCACTTGCCCTGACCCTATTCTCTATGTGATTACTAATCTCTGATAATAGCTCTTGGTTGAGTGGGGACAAGAAACAATTTCAGGGAGGCATGGGATATGATAATACAATCAGAGGTTTATTTTAAATTTAAGATTAGGAAGAATGTAGTCTTTTCTCCCTCCCTTGCTTCCCACAAAGTTCTGCTGACTACCTTAGATTTATATCTGAAAAACAGCTTCTGTTCCAAAGGAATATATAGTAATGATGTAAGTAGTTGGAAAAGAAAAACTATAGCACCAGACAGGAGAGTGGGCCCAGCCCCTATCCCTCTTTCTTGATTCTAAGGAACCTGTCCTACAGGGGAGTCATCCTAACCCCAAATTCATCTCCCTGGAGTTGGCAAAAAAGATCAGTTGATCTCAGGTCTTCAGTAGCTAAAGGGAAGGAGGATAGGGCAGCCCTTTGTCCTTCCCTAGCCTGTACCTAAATTATCATTGCCAGATCTTAGTATTTATTGATGCCAAAGAGACGGACACCATGGAACTGGGGTAACTTAGGCAGTAGCACACTGAGTAGTGAAGCTGTATTGATGATAAAGTGAGCAGCATCATATTTGGTGTAGAAGCTGGCCAGGAGGTAGCTAGGGAGAGAAAGAAGAACATGATGAAAAAGAGAGACTGGTCTCAGCTATCTCACCTATGCCCTTACCTCTTCTTGTTCTTCCTACCATCTCCCCCAAGTCAGTGACTTTATTATTTCCTTAAATGACCAGCTCTACCTCAGCTAGTCCTAACAACCCTTAACTGTTGACACATGGAACAGCATCTCTCTCCAATGGGGAAAGACAGTTTATAGATTCAACAAAATGTACTGATCAATGGAAAATGAAAGAAGGGTCAGGCTACAGCACTGCAAATGTCCCCTTGTCTCTGTTGCCCTCTTCCTTTTAAATCAGTTATACCCTCATTTGTTGTACACTTAAAGAGAAAGTCTCGCACCACAGAATCTAGGTTAGGGTTTCTTTGGAGTTTTCCCAGATGCTCCTATCCCCGTTGCCACCACAGGGAGGCAGCAATCCTATTTGTGGCTTTCATACTTACGGATTTCATAACTGGTGAATTTAACACCCTCTACCCTCCTAGCATGGTTAGATCATGGGGTAGTCTTTAAGTGAATTTATAGAGATTCTACCCCTTGTGGTGCCTTCCATTTAACTCAAGTCCCCTTGGGGGCCCTTACAACCCCTACTCTACCTAGCCTCTCCCTCACTCTCTTGGAACTCACAGCACAATGGGAGAAATACTGAGGAACTTTCTGGAGGAGGTGAACTGGAGCCCATAGTCCATCTGCTCCCAGTGTGTAAGGTGCCGGGCCTTGCCTTGGTCGGGAGTCTCAAAGGGTGTCCCCTTCACAGTGTGCAGGAACACATACATAACCTGGGAGTGGGTGAAAAGGTAGAACACATCCTTTTCAACTATGGATCTGAGGCAGGTGGGCAAATCCCCAAAGAACTAAAGTCTTGGTGAGAAAAAATGGGTTTAGGCTGGAAGCTCACCAGGTTATGGATGACGTTGGTCAAGGTCCAGACGACTGGGATGCTGAAGAAGGGGATGCTGAGTAGAACCACATGCAGAAGCCCTACCAGGATGATGTAGGCTAGCCAGATACCTCGGCTGTTCATCACCCTTGTGTTGGGGTTCACCTCGCTGTGGGCCACCCCCACATTCATCCTGCCACAACAGTGAGTCAGGAGCTCAACTCGCCTTAGTTTCTGTTACCTTTGGTCTGCCTCCCTCAGTTACCGGTTTGGTGACTGCAATGAACCCTGAACTTGGGGGGAGGGGGGGGGGGGAGGAGGAGGAGGAGGAGGAGGGGAAGGCGCCTCTAGGATACTGAAGCCTGAAAGACAAAAACAGGTTTGCGGGGATGAGGGGAATCAGCAACTTTCCTTCAGCCTGAAGGGAACGGCCTTGGGCTAAGGATAGCAGCCCTAAGAAGGGCCGGCAAGGGAAAGGGGGGAAACGGTCCTCTTCCTTTCTACAAATTAGTTCAGGCAGTCCACCCCTAGTCCTCCTTAGAGGGTGGGCAGCAGAGTCGGACGAGGCTCGTACAAGGGGAGGTGCCGAGGGGGCAGGAGTATCAGAAACGACGCCTCTCCCCTCCCATTCTCTGGTCCGGGGCTGCCGTGGACGACAACCTCGACGTGGGGAGCTGCCATTGGCCCCATTCTTTCTTAAGAATGTAGGAAGCTGCGGGAACACGTTCTGGGCTCTCCGCCGACGGGGGAGGGGGCAGACGGGGAGAGATGGCGTTCCGGGCGCCGACTCCCCACTCGGGGGCTGCTCTACGGAAGGGGCGTTCAGACCTCTTCCTTCCAGGCGAGCCGGCAGCCCACGCCCCAACCCAGCCAAGCCCCGAGGCCCAGAAACCCTTTGGCGGCGGCCCGGGGCCCCATCCCTGCCCCTCAGAGTTCACCCTCACTGCCTTCCTCCACCCCCTCTCGGTCCTGTCCCCTCACTCCCAACTCCCCTCACCTGGCGGCTCCAAGGGCCACTCCACCCTGGCGCAAGTTTAGCTGCTTCACCTCGTCCACCTGTTGTCTCCTGGAAGCAGCCCTGCCCTCGAACTGTCCTCATTGGTCTTCCACACCCGGCGCTGCCGTGGCTCATTGGCCACTCATTTTGGTGTTCAGTGTTTCGGTTAGCCAGCAGCCCCGTCACTCTGGCGGGAGGGAACCAACCCTTCTCCAATGCCCTACGCAGGCAAGCTCTCGCGTGGGGGCGGAGCCATGCTGATGGCCGACGAATGAATAAAGCTGATGGTGTAGAGTGGGAGTATAAGCGACAACTATTGGGTGATGTTGATCCTCCGAGTCTCGGCGGGAGCTCCAGAAGGCGGAGGCGGGGGGGGCAAACGGGGGTGGAGGGGGTGACAAGATGGCGGCGGAGACGGTGGAGCTTCACAAACTGAAGGTACCGTGAGGGGCAGAGGCCCGGGCATGGCTGGGGGCCGAGCTCTACGAGGTGACCGGCGCCTCCTTCTCCTCATTTCTCCCTCCAGGGCTCCTCTTACTGTTGTCCTGGTCTTCTCCCTCGTTAGACTGTTCTTCTCTGGGGCCTTCTTCCTCTCCCTTCGTGCTGGCCCCCTTCTCGTTCCTTCCCCCCTGCCATCTTTCCTCTTCGTTCGGGGTGCTCCTCTCCTTACGGCTCCTCCCTTCCTCTTTTCTGCAGCCCCCGCTTTCTCCTGCTGTCCCGAGAGTGTGTGGTTCCCTCTCCCATTGCGGGGAGGCAGGAGAGATAGCACGTTAGGACTCCTCTCGCCTTCTGTCCCCTGCCCCCGACTCCCTTTCCATCCCCCCGGCCTCTCTTCCGAGTCCAGGAGTCCCCAGCAAGCTGGGTTAGTGGCACCCACGTGTATTTGTGTGTTTGTCTGCTCTCAAGGACGTCTCGGGGATGCCTCCAGCTCCATCCTCGGCGGTGTTACGGTACCTGAATCCAACCCGGAAGCCTGGGAGAGCCTTGGGATGGGGACCTCTAGCATCCCCCTCCTCTCACCTCAGGGGTTTGATGGCATTTGGATGAAGCTACAGCCCTTAAGTGCCTTGAGGAGGCACTGTCATCTTCTCAGAATAAGATAGAGATTTTCCTTCCTAAAGATTTTTTTTTTTTTTGGCAAGGTGGTGAAGGGAGCTGGAGAAGCTTTTGAAAAACCCAGTTTTCCCTATTATCCTTCACTTCCTGGATCCGCCACCTCCTTTTGTGTCATCCTCTGGGTAGTATGGGATGCTTGACAAAGATTTTAATTTTTTTTTGGAGGAAGGAATTAACCTTCTTTAGATAAAAAAGATTTTGGTTGATTTTTAGGTGTTCGTTTAGAATTTGGCAGACAGTCCCCCCTGTCAGATAGTGGTTGCTCATTTCGTTTTAGGAAACTTAAGCTAAAAACCGTTATCCTTTATTATATAATATACTACGTGCTCTGCAAGATTTGCAAAAGCTGCATCACCTGGCTTGTTGATGCTCACAGTCTAAATCGTATCTAATAGGAAAAAATGGTTTATATTTTCCTGGATATACTCTGAAATAGGTGCTACTAAAACGTTTAGCCCTAGCAGCATGGACTGTTTTATTCTCTTAGATTCTGCTTGGCATAATCAATTTTATTCTTGTTCTATCAGCTGCTGAGATTGTAAGGTTGAATTATAACCTTTACATTTCCATGGCATGTCAGTTTTGCTTTTTTTTTTTCCTGGACTGATTTCAGCATCAAAGTCTACTTTACAAGAACGTGGGGAAGGAGCGGGAAAGGAGCCTCTCCCTATGCTACAGGAATTCTTAATTTTTTAGTGTCAGCAACACCATTAGCAGTCAGGTGAAGCCCATAATCCTGTTCGTAGAATAATATATTTAAATGCATAAAATAAAATCATAAAATATAACCAATTATATTGAAATATATTATCTAAATGTTTTTAAAAACAAGTTCATAGACCCCAGGTTAAGAACCCCTGCTCTTGAAACAACTGAGTCTTCTTTTCCCTTTTGAAATATATCCCTTGCCCCTCACAACATCTAAAGGAGTTTAGCATCATTACTTATATTGAGAGAGTCCTGCCTTATTTGCTATATAGGAGGGCTTCTTAATCATGGGGGATGTGGGCACATTTCAGAAGGTCCATGAACTTGGTTGAGGGGGAAAATGTCAAGTTTCACTAAACTTTAACTGAAATTTAGCATTTCCTTGAATCATATAAAATTATTCTGAGTCTGTAAGCTTCACTAGACTGCCAAAGGTGTCCATGACATATAATATGAGGTTAAGAACCCCTGCTTTGGAGCTTAACATTTTAATTCTTCTAACTTATGTGTAAATACAGAGTTTTCTTGAGGAATAAGATGTTGAGGTGGGGTGGGAAAAGTGACATTAGCTTACTTGAATTGAACTTTAAGAAATAATTGGAAAAGAATGCTTAAAACTCTACCTTTTACTTCATTTTCATTTTTAAAAAAGGAGATATGGGCTGAAATTTCCATACTGGTTAAAAGGGCATGTAGGTTTATCATATTCACTTTCAAATCCCCCCCACCCTCCTTTTTTGGGGGGGGGGGGTACTGTGACCTGGAAGTCTTTCTTAAATTAAGACACTTGAGCACTGGAGGCCTTAAGTTCCTGTAAAGTGAGCACTAATGAGATTTAGTAGCCCTGGGGTTAAGTCCTGCCACTGACATTTACTGACTGTGTGACCTTAGGCGGGTCACATAAACTCCCTGAGCCTCTGGTTTTACAGAGGATGCTCTGTAAAATGAGGGGGCTATACTACATGGCTTCTGAGGGCCCTTCCAACTCGAGTGCTGTGATCTCTTGATTACTGTTGATTGCTGTTCTCTCTTGAAATGATTGTTCATTTTGACCCTATCCCTTTTGACCAGAAATTTGTTAAAAATGTAAAGAAATGCAACCACCCCAAAGTACAAACTGGCAAGGGAGGAAGCTGAATGGTAGAGAGCAATGTTTGTTGAAATACAGGGATGGGGACTGGATCTGTGATTTCATTGTTATGTTGGTTTTCATTGGTTTTCCATTAATTCTAGCAGCTTCTTGGCTTGTCTTTCATAATGTCTTGACTACAGTCACAACTCCTGCATGAGGAAACTCCCTCTACTAATGCAGGTTGGCATCTTCTCTGCAACTTATAGTCTTAGAGAGTTGCTTAGAGCACTGAGAAGTTAAGTGACTTGCCCAGGGTCACGCAGCCAGTATGTTTCAGAGGCAGGACTTGACCTCAGGTTTTCCTGGGATAAGCTTGTGTGTCAAGTGCCACACAAACCACTATAGGAATAGTGGTAAAGCCAAACTATATAATGAGAATTCATTTTAATAGCGAATGTTTATAGTAGCATTGCCTATCCTTTCAGGGATAGTGTAGTATTGTGGCACGGTGGAAAGAGTATTGACTCTAGAGTCAGACCTGGGTTCATATCCTACCTTTGATGCTTCCCACCTGTGTCACCTTAGGCGTGAATCACTTAATCTCCCTAGGCTTCAGTTTCCTCATCTGTAAAATGAGGGGGTTGAATTTAGATGACTGTGAGGTCCCTTCCAGCTTTATATCTATGACTTTTAAGTTCTTTATTTGATCTCTGCCCGTTTTCAGAGATCCACATTTTAAGAGCTACTTTTGACAATCACTTAAGCAATTAAGGATTGCTTGTTATGTAGTAGTAACACAGTAGATGTTATGAAAGAAAACAAAATTAAAAGTCAAAGTAAGGTACTTGTCTTTGAAATATATTTGATGGAGACATACACACATATGAAGTTACTTGAAAAGAATTTTCATTTCAGGGTGGTACATTTTAACAAGACATGGACAATAATATTAGCTGAAGTGTCTATATAGTACTTGATGGTTTATATCCTCAATAATATTGTGAGATAGGTAGTGTTAAATATTATTTCCATTTTATAGATGAAGAAACTGAAGTGCATGTTAATGGACTTGCCTGTAGTTGTACAACTAGTGAATGTCAGATCTAGGATATGAATTCTGTTCTTTCTCCTTACCCCACACCACTTCTCAAATTAGAGCATGTCTATAGTTAGATTGGCTGGAATGGTGAAAGGTCTGGAATCCATGTCATGTAAGGATTACTTGAAGAAACTAGGTATGTTTAATCCAGAGAGGGGAAAACTTGGGTATGTGATAGATGTTGTCTTTTTTTTTTTGAATTTTTAAAAGTTTTGTTTTTGTTTTTCTCTAGTGTTTATACCACAATTATTTCCTCTTAAGTCTCCCTGCCCTCCCCAATAGTTCCCTGTAACAAAAACAAAAACAACTAAGTAGAGCTGTGGTGTATATTGCATTCCACATCAATAGTCTCCATCTTTCTATTGAGGGGAGGAAGGTATATTTCTATATTAGTTCTCTAGGACAGAAACTGTTCATTACAGTTCATAGTTCAGCTGCTTTTTACTGTTATTTTCCTTTACATTAATCATTGTGCATATAAATTTTTTTTTAAGGCAATTGGGGTTAAGTGACTTGCCCAGGGTCACACAGCTAGTAAGTGCCAACTGTTTGATCTGAGGCTGGATTTGAGCTCAGGTCCTCCTGACTTCAGGGCTGGTGCTCTATCCGCTGTGCCACCTAGCTGCCCCATGTACATATAATTCTTGTAGTTATGTTTTCTTCGCTCTGAATCAGGTCATACAAGTTCTCTTGATTTCTTGAAATTTTCATTTTTATCATTTCTTTCTGCACAGTTTTTCATTATGTTCACATACCACAATGTGTTCAGCCATTCCTCAATCAAGGGAACCCTTTTTGCTTCTATTTTATTGCTAATAATAATGGCTAGCTTTTTATTAATGCTTTAAGGTTTGCCAAGTACTTTATCCATATGATACCTTATTTGAGCCTCACAACAGCCCTGTGGGGTAGGTGCTATTATTATCCCCATTTTACAGATGAGGAAACTGACAGTGGTTAAGTGGTTAAGTCACTTGCCTAGGCTCATGCAGCCAGTAAATGCTTGAGGCAGGATTCCAACTCCAGTCTTGATTGTAAGTCTGTCTAGTCTAACACCTAGCTGCTTCCCAAAGAGGCACTACAAAAGGGTGCTGCTACAAGCAGTTTGTTATATATAGGTCTATGTATAATGTAGTATATGAACACTTGGG